TTATTAGTGTACAGAGAAACATAAATATACAAAAGCATCTCATGTGATGTTTCATCAACCCTTCTCTATTTCAACACAAATAGCCGCATACAAACGACTTTTCCACAAGGGGTATTCAAAAAGTTGTTTTTCTATTAGTCCACAGAAGAAAAAAAAAAAGCAAGCGTATGATGCTGAATGACATTGTTTGATTCATGTTTATTAGTATATTATAAGGGGAGAATCTTAGTAAAGTTCTTTTCAAGGAAAAAAAATTTAGGGAAAGTACAATGTTTTGTTAGTGGAAATAAAAAGTTGGACAACAAAAATTACTCGAAATGATTCTCTTTCTATCTATTAAGAATGATTTATTTTAGATTTCGACTCATCATCATCATCTTCGGCTTTATCCTCATAGACAGCCCGGAGACAAGATTTCAATTTAGGGGGGGCGCAATGTAAAAGTAAATAAATTTACCAACCGGCTAGTGGACTAGCGGTATCAGCCTCTTACCTTTCAAAGAGAAGTCAGGGGTTCGAGTCTCAAAAGAGACAAGTGTGTGTGAGTACCAACTAAGAAAAAAAAAAAAAAAAAAAAAAAAAAAAAAAAAAAAAAAAAAGAAGAAGAAGATAATCATTGCTAAATAATATGATAATCAATTAGTGTTATAAGAAAGATAAATAATTGACCAATATAAAAAATCTAAAAATTATTCGGTAATATTTTCATTGTACACCTTTGTATGAAATTACACCCATTGACTTCATAAATGTCAAGGCTAGTGAAAAAAAAAAGTTAAAAGTGCAAAAAGAAGAATTTAAAGAAGCAGTGAAAAAAAAGAAAAGAAAAAGAAAAAGGAAAGAAAAATGAGAAAAGTTTGAAAGAAAAAAAAAAAAAATAGAGTCTAATTGAAGAAGAAGATTTAGCTTTTTTTATATGAAAATTAAAGGAATCTAAGAGATATTTTAGAAATTAAAAAATTTAGAGGGGGCATTATATACAAATTTTCCTAAATATATAGAAAAACAAAGAAATTTGCCTTATATTTATAGTTGGTGGAGCCAGGTTAGGGCCAGGCAATATTGACCTTGGTGCCTACCCTCAAGGCTTTATTCCTAGCTAACCCACCACTAGGCCATTAGAACGCATTGTGTCATAGACGGGTGTTGAACCTTATATATAATACTTTACTTTCCCCAGGCGATGTGGAATCATGACACCCTATAGCCTGCCAGCGTGATAGCTCGTCCAGTGTCTCACACCTGCCCACAGAGACTGTCACAAACACCCGTGGGGACCCAACGTTCTTGTTGGGCACACTTCTAGCTGGGTTTCGGCTCTGATACCATTTGTAACAACCCTCACCCTACACAGACACAATATTGTGGCGACCTTGTGGGTGGATGTGCCGTGTGCGGGTGCAAGAGATACTGACAGACTATCACACTGGGCGAGCTACAGGTGCACAATCCCCCATCGCCTAGGTGTGGAAAGGGGAAGTGCTATATATATGTAAGATTTGTACACTCCAATTGATATGAGGCCTTTTAAGGTAAAATTCAAAAGCAAAACCATGCAAGTTCGGGGCCAAAACGGACAATATCATACCATGTGGTGGAGTGCGTCAGTACGTGAATTATCTTTTTCCATTCCTTCCTATTATACAAATAGTCAACTTTAATCAAATCCAACATTCATATGAAAAGATGAACTTCAATTTTAATCTAAGTACCCTGGTCATGTCCAAATGTTAATCCAAGTACCCTGTTTATCTCCCTAAGTGCATCCAGAGAAATAAATTAAGATTTTAGTCTAGCACTTTCTTTAGAAGGATTTCACTACTGATATTTGTTCATGAGGCAGTTTAAATGAAATTACAAGGGACATTAATTTTTCTCCAATGAAGAAGATAATAACTCACATTTTAAAGGCATATTTATGTATGTCAGATTATGGAGAAGTACGACATTTTATTTCTAGGATCCTCAAATCGTAGCATTAAACAGTAAAACTTAAGCATAATATACTATTTCAAACAAATTTCTTGGTGAGGACATATAATATTTCTCAATACCTGATTTTGCTCTTCAAGAAAGCTTCTTTCGCTACCAAATTGCCACGCACAGATTCGACACTTCAACATGGGGCATTAGCACTGCAATTTTTCATTCCTCCCACATGATCGGGAGGAAAAAAAAAAAAATCCATGGTTAGTGTTGAGTTATATTGAATAAAGTAATCAAGAATCCTCTGTCACCCACATGTTTGAGGTGGAGAGTCTCAGCAAAATTTAATTTCATGGATAAGTATTGTATTCGTGATGGCAGGGAATGATGGAGGGAACAAAATTTATTTTAAAAAAATGGAATCCTAAAACTCCAGAGAATCAAAGTTTATGTCAAATAATATATCATATAATTGTGTTACTAATGAATCTTAATGTTAAAAACACAATCTTATGTTATGTTCAAATCCTCTACAGGTGATCAAAGAAGGAAAATTGGAACAGAAAATGGAAACACTATTAGTCACTGAAATTTATGTGTAGTAGTTCATATGTTTGTGTCAACTTTTGGTTTAATAAAAATTTAAACCTTAAATTAAAAATAAATTCACCCATAAAACTTCTGCTTATTGGTGTACAAAGAAACATAAATATACAAAAGCATCTCATGTGCTGTTTAATCAACCCTGCTCTATTTCAACACAAATAGCCGCATACAAATGACTTTTCCACAAGGGGTATTCAAAAGAGGGGGAAAAAAAAACACAGATAAAGATGATGATGAAGAATTGAAAAAGCAAGCTTATGATGCTGAATGACATTGTTTGATTCATGTTTATTAGTATATTATGAGTGGAGAATCTTAGTAAATTCTTTTTAAGGAAAAAAAATAATTAGGAAAGGTACAAGGCTTTACTAGTGGAAATAAAAAGTTGGATGACAAAAATTTCTCGAAATGATTCTCTCTCTATCCATTAATAATTATTTATTTTAGATTTCGACTCATCATCATCATCATCATCATCATCTTTGCCTTTTTCCTCATAGAGATGGATTCGGCCACATGAATTATCTTTTTCCATTCCTTCCCAACTTTAATCATATACAACATTCATGTCCAAATGTTAATCTAAGTACCCTGTTGATAATAAATTAAGATTTTAGTCTTGACACTTTCTTTAGAAGGATTTCACTACTGATATTTGTTCATGAGCAGTTGAAATGAAATTACAAGGGACATTATTTTCTCCAATGCAGAAGATAAGAACTCATATTTTAAAGGCATATTTATGCATGTCAGATTATGCAGAAGTACGACATTATATTTCTAGGATCCTCAAATCGAAGCATTAATAACAAATAAAACATAAAACAGTAAAACTCGAGCATAATATATTATTTGAAATTAATTTCTTGGTGAGGACAGATTATATTTTTCAATACCTGATTTTGCTCTTAAAGAACTATTTCCATGCAAAAACTAGTTTAGGCCCAGACCAGAACAATTCTCAGAATAGCAAGCAAGAGTGAAATGATAAGGATTAAGTAATGTTATATAACAAACTCAAAAGTGTAGAATAAATCAGCTCAAACATGAGTATCCCAAACATTTTGAGCCAAAAATAATTACCCATTCGTGTTATATGACATGAATGAATTAAAGAAATCAAGAGGTTAACTTTTTAGAAAAGTTTGGTTCAATTTTTATGTGAAGTATTTAAACATTAGGAGCTTTAAAGGCTGATAAAATAGTAAAAATAAAAATAAATATCAGATACAACCTTATTACTGTTACAGTTCATTTCCCTACTGTATTTATTCTCTTAACTAGAAAGTTAAGAGAATAAATACAACTTACTCAAAATAAAAGAACAACAATTTAGAGAAAAGCATATATTGCTCGATCCCCTTTATTGGAGGTCTATGCCTCTATCTATATGCAAAAAGATGGTGGAATTATGGTAAAATTCGCCCTGCTTGTCCTCCAATTCATTCCATATATAATTCTTTACCTACAAAGTTCTTTCCTTTTGTAATTCCTTCTATGCCAGACTTTTCTCATGCAAAACTTCCTTATATGAAGAATCCTTAAGTAAACTGGACTTTGATTAATTCGAACTGGACTTTGATTAATTCGAACTGGACTTGGATTAGGATGTGAATGGGCCAAACGAATTTATTGCAGGTTAAGAGGTTAATGTTAGTAACCTTGGGTCAATGACAACTTTAGTTGGGCTTTGCCAAGATCGGGCTTTGATGGGCTTTTGGAGATCAATTGGGATTCGGACTTACTTTAATGATGTGGCTGATTCTTATTGGAGGGGAGATTTTCCCCTCCACACCTACGTTGTTCCTTCAACAATCAATTTATAGGTTAAAAGGTCTTAATCTCCTATTCTCCTGAAGAACATTTTCAGGAAAAAAAAGGTCTCATGATCCATGTAAGAAGAGTACAAATATATAAACATCAGGAATCAAAATTGCTCTTATTTGTCAGCAACTAGTGTTGAACAGATCCAAAGTTAATCATACCTTGTTGACAAAAAGGCAGAATGGAGATCTCATGTATCAAATCAGATGCTGCTGCATCGATTTGTCAGATATATTGTCTGCTTTCATCTTCAATCCTTATTAACCACCGTAGCCATTGTGTAATGTTTAATCATACCTTGTCAACAAAAACAAAGAGCTTATATCTCAAGTAGTATATCAGACCATTCTCAATATATTTACTCATATACTATTTGCTTTCTTCTTCATTCCTTGTCAACTACTATGTCACTGTGTGATGAAAAAGAATATTACTCTCGTTAAAACTAGTGCAATTTCAGCCAACATGAGCGATATGTCCACCTCTCCAAAGGGGAAGTTGAGGGTTCAGGCCCTAGTGGGGGCATGAGTAAGTGACTAACTTACCTATTGATAATATATATATAGAGAGAGAGAGACACACACACACATATATAAGATAACATTCCAATTTAACATATTGGAAAAAACTACTCTTTCAAATTTGAAAACCATGAAATGTTCGTGTATTTTATATATAAGCAACAACAGAATGTCCCTAACTGCTCTTCTTCTCACATAAAATAGAGCTGATAAACCGGCATTTAAAATATTTTATCACAAGTATTTTATCATCCAAGAATGAAAGAATTTTCTACGAGTCTTATAGAAAAACATTAATAGTCATTAAGACAAATGAAAATATCAATTCAAAGATTTGATCACAAGTTCACATGTTTTACAGCTAGATTCTCTTCAGTTCGCAGTCTCTTGAAGCCTTGGAGGAAACTACGTCATATTAAAGCATTTGGCGGGAATAGCATGTCATCAATTAATTGCTCAGCTTCCTTGAGATGCCGATATTTTGCCAACTAATCCACCACAAGAAGATAGTGATCCGTGTCTGGTTCAACCCCATAATTTCTCTTCCTTCAATAATCGACCATGTCTGCATGCCGAAGGGACAGACAGCAACACCATCTGGCTTAAACCCCATCACCTCCATTTCTTGGAACCTTTCCAAGGACTCGGTTGCAAGTCCATGGAGCCCAAGGGCAGAAATTTAGAGCAGTCCATGAGATTAGATATGCATTCATCATCTCAATGAATATTTTAAATGAGCACACTAGGCTCCCACATTTCCCATACATGGCTATCATTACGTTGCAGACAAATATGTCACAGCAATTAATATCAGTCTTTATGATAAGGCCATGAAGAGAACTACCCAAAGCAAGGTTGCAAAGTTTAGTGCAAACACTCAGGAGACTAACATATGTGTAATTGTCAAGGTTGCAATGTTTAGTATTAACTCATTGGATAAATATTGTGTTAGTGATGGCAGGGAATGATTGTGGGAACAAATTTATAAAATGGATTGCTAAAACCTTAAAGCGTCAAAGTTTACATCAAATACATTATATAATTGTGTCAACAATGAAGCTTAATGTTGAAAATATAATCTTATGTTCTGTTCACATCCCTGACAAGTAATCAACGAAGGAAAATGAGAACATCACTGAAATTTATGTGGTGTAGTTCATGATGCAATTTTAGCCAAATTAGAGAGGACATGACTTTGTTGTTCGAAAGAGTGCTATGATCATTCTCCGTGATGGCAGTTATGGGGTTTATCATATGTTTGAGTCATCTTTTGCTTTAATTAAACATTCTCAAATGGCAATTAAACCTTGAATTAAAAAAAAAATTCATCCATAACCTTATGTTTGTTAGTCTACAAATATACAAAAGCATCTCATGTGATATTTAATCAACCCTGCTCTATTTCAACTCAAATAGCCGCAAACAAATGACTTTTCCACAAGGGATATTCAGAAGTCATTTACCTAATGGTCCACAGGGAGAAAAAATAAAGGGCAGAAGAAGATGATGATGAACTGAAAAAGGAAACTTAGCATGCTGAATGACATTGTTGGATTCATGTTTATTAATTTATTACAAGTGGAGAATCTTAGTAAGTTCCCTTTAAGGAAATTTTTTTAGGAAAGGTACGAGGTTTTTCTAGTGGAAATAAAAGTTGAAGGACAAACACAACCGAAATGATTCTCTCTCTATCCATTAAGAATTATCAAAATTTAGATTTTGAAGAGTAAACTTTAATCGTATCCAATATTCATATGAAAAGATGAAGTTCAATGTTATATTAAGTACCCTGTTCTTGTCCCAAAGTGCATCGAGAGAAATTAATTAAGATTTTAGTCTGTCACTTTCTTTAGAAGAATTTAACTACAAATATTTGTTCATGCGGCGGTTTAAATGGAATCACAAGGGACATTAATTTTTCTCCAATGAAGAAGTTATGAACTCGCAATTTAAATGCATATTTCTGTGTATCAGATGATGCAGAAACTATGACATTTTATTTCTAGGACCCATAAATCGAAGCATTAATAACAATTAAAAATAAAACATTAAAATTTAAGCACAATAGATTGTTACAATTAATTTCTTGGTGAGGACAGATATGTCTTCAATACCTGATTTTGCTCTTAAAGAAATAGTTGCATGCAAAAACTAGTTTAGGACCAGAACCATTATCAGAATAGCAACCAAGAACAGCCGAGGCCCCAAAGCCAAATGATGAGAATCAAGCAATGTTTTACAACAAACTCAGAAGTGTACAAGAAGTCAGCACAAACATGAATGTACCACACATGTTGAGCCAAATATAAATACACGTTCATGTTAAAATCAAGAGGTTAAGTTCTCAGAAAAGTTCAGGTCATTTTAATGTGAAGGATTAAAACTTTCAGGAGCTTTAAAGGCAGATAAAACACAGAAAAAGTAAAAAATAAAAATAAAAATCAGATGCAATTTATTACGACGACAGTTATTTTCCCTAAGTTGTTACTTCAACAATAAATTAACAGGTTACTCTCCAAAAATCTAAATAATAAATACAAAATACTACATGAATCACAATCAGTAAGCCTGCAACATAACTCTTATACAACATTTGCAGGAAAATAAGGTCTCATTATCCATTTATGAAGCAAATGTATAAACATCAGGAATCAAAATTGATTTCATTTATCAGCAATTTGTGTTGAACAGATCCAATGTTAATCATACCTTGTTGACAAAAGCACAGAATATAGCTCTCATGTATCAAATCAGATATTGCTCCATTGATTCCATCAGATATTGTTTGCTTGCATCTTCAATCCTTGTTAACTACTGTAACCACTGCATAATACTTAATCATACCTTGTCAATGAAAAGGAAGAACTTATATCTTAAATAGTATATAATTAGATAATTCTCCATCTATTTCCTCATATTCTGTTTGCTTTCTGCTTCATTCCTTGTCAACTACTATGCCACTATGATGAAAAAGTTCAAATGAGTATTATTCTCCTTAATCCCCGTATTCTCGTCCAATTTCAGCCCGCAACTTGAGATACCATCTACCACCAAAGCCTAGGCTTGAGCATTATGTCCTCCACCTCTCCAAAGGGGAGGTTGAAGGTTCAGCCCCAGTGGGGGCATGCGTGTGAGAATAGTTTACCTATCAAAAGAGAGAGTGAGAGAGAGATAACATTCAAATTTGATCTACTGAAAAAAAAAAAAAAAAAAAAAAAAAAAAAAAAATATTCTTTCAAATTTGAAAACCACAAAATGTTCATATAAATTATATATAAGTAACAATAGAATGTCCCTAACTACTCTTCATCTCATGTGAAATACCGTTAATGAACCGACATTTAATTTAATCCTCATTCTTAAAAGAAAAATATTTAATCATCTCAAGAATGAAAGAACTTTCTACAAGCCTTATAGAATACCATTAATACTCTTTTAAGACAAAAGAAAATATGAAATGATCACAAGTTTACATGTTTTACAGCTAGATTCTCTTCAATACGTGGTTTCTTGCAGCCTTGGAGGAAACTACGCCATATTAAGGCATTTGGTGGGAATGGCATGTCATCAATTAATTGCTCTGCTTCCTTGAGATTTCCATATTTAGCCAGTAAGTCCACCACAAGATGATAGTGATCCATGTTTGGTTCAACCCCATAATTTCTCTTCATTTGCCCAAACAATTCCTTCCCTTCCTTCACTAACCCACCATGTCTGCATGCTGAAAGCACAGCAATGAAAGCAACCCCATCTGGCTTAAACCCTATAGCCTCCATTTCTTGGAACCTTTCCAATGCCTCAGCTGCAAGTCCATGGAGTCCAAGGGCTGAAATTAGAGCAGTCCACGAGATTAGATTTTTATTCAACATCTCATTGAAGACTTTGACTGAGCTCTCTAGGCTCCCACATTTCCCATACATGTCTATCATTACATTGCAGACAAATATGTCACAGCAATTAAAATCAGTCTTTATGATAAGGCCATGTAGAGAACTACCCAAAGCAAGGTTGCAAAGTTTAGTGCAAACACTCAGGAGACTAACGTATGTGTAATTGTCAGGGTAGATTTGAGCCATCTGCATTTCCGTGAAAAGATCATAAACCTCCTTGTAATCACCATTGCGAGAACAAGCTGCAATCAATATGTTCCAAGATACGATGTCGGGTTCCTCAAGAACTGCAAACAATTCTTGAGTACTATGATACTGGCCAGTTCTGTTATAAATTCCAGCAATTATATTAGAGGGGACGACAGGAAGTGGTTCGTTAGTAGCAGCAACAAATACCAAGGCATCAGATATCTGACCACTTTTGGCATACGAGGAAATGAGAGAGCTTAATACATACTCATTCTGTTGGTAACCCATTTTTATTATCAAAGAATGAAGCTGCTTCAGCTCTAAGATGAAGGATGATTTTAGTATGGTAGAGAATGTAAACTCATTGGGGCAATAATCCAATTGAATCATTTCTCGCAGGAGTGAAACAGAAGTAGAAGGGCATTTCTTCGAGTAACCCATAATCAAAGCATTCCAGGAAACCAAATTCTTGTCATATATTTCATCAAAAGAGTGACGTGCCTCTTCCAACTTATCACATTTAGAATATAAATCAACTAATGCACTTCCAACAAATACATCAGATTCATACATGTTCTTGATTATTTTAGCATGGATGACTTCTCCATGCATTGGAACATGCAAACTGGTACACGAGTTAATAGCACTAACAAATGTAGTCTGGTTAGGTAAAACTCCATTCACACACATTTCCAAGAAGAGCTCTAATGCTTTGCCTGGTCTATCACTCTTTGCCAGAGCTCCAATGACTGTATTCCATGACACAATATCCCGAACAGGCACTTCCTCAAACAGTTTTTCCGCTAAGCAAGTGCCTGAGCACTTCACATACATATTGATAAGTGAATTCACAACTGACACTTCATATTCCAATGCTCTTTTAATCACTAACCCATGTATCTGTTCTCCAGATTCAAGGTCTTGCTCCAACACAAATCCAGATAAAACACCCACAAAAGAATATTCAGACAAGACCACTTCTGTTCTCATGAGCTCGCGGAACAAGAGAATACAATCTTCAGCTAACCCATGATGCCCAAACAAAGATATCATTGAATTCCATGTCACCAAGTTCTTTAGAGGCATCTCTTCAAAACTTCGAAGAGCCTCATCAAAGCACCCATGTCTAGAGAACAGACCAAACAATGCAGTCCCCGCAAACGCATCAGCACACATCAACCCAGTCTTCATAATCATTGCTTGCAACATAAATCCTCGACGGAGATCCAAAGAAGCACACGACAAGAGCCCACCGAATGTGAACTGGGTTGGCTCAAATCCAATGGCCCTCATCTCCAATAACAGCTTCCAAGCATCGTCTACATTCCCATGACGACTATAAGCACAAATCATCGTATTGTATGACACCACGTTTCGCTGTGGCATTTCGTCAAATAGTTTACGAGCAAACGATAATTCTCCAAGCGATTCGTATACAGACATGATATTATTGTTGAGGAAGATGGATTGGGGCGAACTCGAACCCAATGTAATGGTGAGTGCGTGGATTGATTTAGTTGCATCAAGTGATCGTTCCCTTGAGAATTCATGGAGTAGTTGCACGAGCAGTTGATGATTGATTTCTCCATTGAAGGGCCGAGGGAGGAGTGTGCCATGGAAATGACGGTAGTCTCGAATGGAGATTGATAATAGAAGTTGCTGGGAAGAAGAGAAACTATGGGTCAAGTTGAAGAACTGTACAGACTTTGAAGCAACCGAAGCTGCCTTTCTCATGCAGACTCGGAAAAACACTAGTGCACTAAACACTAGTGATTTTAGGGTGTGTAAAACTGAAAATTGGAAAAAAGAGAGCTAGGATTTGGAGCTGCTTGTTTTGCCATAGAATTATGGCTGAATCATCTACATTTGTGTTGGAATGTTTACTTTTCTGTCATGTTGTTATTGGTTGACAGTATTTGTCATAACAGCAAATATCTATGAGTTGGCTTTTGGTTCATTCTTCTTTCAGTCTCAATGTCTCATGCCAAGTGGCACATGGAAATGCCTGGTAAGAACTAATTGGTCTGTGCGACCAATTCAAGTATTTGTCGCATTTAAAATTTATTTGAATGTTGTACTCTCCATAATTGTTTTGGTTATTTACTAAGTGAAATAAAAAATAAATAATTTTGTGAGGCCAATGGATACACAAAATTATAATCTCTCCTCACTCTCTAGTGACACTGTTCATGCCCCTCTCTGTTCCGTTTTGCGTTTCTCTCTTGGTAGAGGTGCTTTGTTCTTCAGAGTTTTGAGCTTCTCAAGTTGGCGTGTTTCTATGAGATGGATTCCCTGTTCAATTCAGTAAAACGTTCATGTGGTCGGTCGAATCAGATGGAATTTTGGGTCTTACGGGCTGTTGGATCGAGCATATTGAATGGTGGATGGCTTATTGTCCAATCTCCTCAGTTATTCCCTTTTGATTCAAGTATTGGGTTGGTTTTATTCGCATCTGTTTGGCTCGCGAGAAAACGCTGGTTCCGCTTTCCGGATTGTGTGGAAATGTGGAATAGAATAGTGTGGTGTGCGGGCGTGCTAGGAACTGCAGTAGTTCCAAAGTAGAAATCCGAATGGTTATCCAGTTGGAAAGTTGTAGGGATCAGGCGATTGTACGAAGGTCTGGAATGACCACCTTCAAAGGGTCTTTTTTGCCTTTAAACAAAGACTTTAAACTATTCTATGGCTAATGGAAATGAAGACGGTATTGAGGTGCAAGTGCTGGAAATTAAAGTAATTGAAACTGCAAGACTGAAAATTAAGATAACTGAAGTGCATGATTGGAAATTAGAGAATTGAAGTGCAGTGCTTGGAAACTAGAGAATTGAAGTACAATGCTTAGCTGAAAGTAACAAAAGGAGTACAGGACTGGAAATTCATCGCATGGAATGAAAGCTATATAGAATAGCAAAGTGCTGGACTCAACTTAAAAGTGTGTAAATTCATTGTTGAAATGGAAAGTACATGAACTAGCAAAGTGCTAGATTTAGACATAATGTAAATTCATTGTTGGAATGAAAGGTACATGAAATAGCAAAGATGATGTGTTTGTATGCTGGGCAGGCAGGGTTTGCAAACTAGCCTTGGGTGCTCTATTTATAGAGCTCTTCATTGCATGCAGCAACTTGATGTGGCACCTTCAGCAACTTTGAAGTGGACTGATTCTAGACTGCCAAGTGTCCCATGTTCTCTTGGCAGTTGTAATTTCTTTTCAGTTAAACTTCTCCTTGCTCCTTATTTCTTTTGATGCATAACTCAAACCATGTTTGTAGTAGTCCTTCACGAACTTGCACCGTGGGTAGTTTTTGGAGTGAAATTCCACTTGTCTTCTTCACAATTTGACACGCGTCCCACGTTTTCTTGTTCTTCTTCCGTCTCCTATGAATTTTTCCTCCAATTTAGACATGATTTAATCACCTTAAACCCATCATCTAAAATCCACATCAACCGTTTTCAGTTAGTGGTAGTAGTTGCATGAGACACTACCACTTTCAACTAATCTTATTCCACGATCTTATGTAATCCCTTCCTTCTTTAAAGTCATTCTTCTGTATAATTTCTATATATATCATGCATGTATATAGAAGTTATTCACAAACCACGTTCTCCTGGCTTTGGGTAACTTCCTTCCAATTGAACTTTCCATTTTGGTCTTTGTATCACGACGCCGTGGTCCCTTTCTTTCAGCGATTTCTTCATCGTGGAAAATATATATATATATATATATATCCGTGAATACATTATCCCCTACATCTACTGACCATGATCTCCATATTTTAATTACCTTCCTTAATCAAACTTTCCCTTCTTGCTTGATGGCATCATGGTCCCTGAATTTCAGTAACTTCTATATCGTGGGAAATATTCCATCTATGGCGTCGTGGTCTCTTCTTTCAGCGATTTCCCTTTCGTGAGTCATATCTGATACATAAATATATATCCATAAATACAGATATTCCCCACGTCCATTATTCTTCTGTAACTTTCCTCAACCAAACATTCCTTCCTGTTTTTACGGCATCATGCTCTCAGGGCGCAAGCAACTTCTTTTAAATCATGGGTTTAATATATATATATATATTAAACCCACGATTTAAAAGAATTATAGCACCAAATACTGACTAGGTCTGAACAAGCGGCTGAGATTTCCTAAAAATAAGGAGAAATTCCAGCCCCACGTTCTCCTCTCTTGACTTGGTCAATCTTGAAAGAATTAATCCACCGTGGCAAGTTCAATAAGACTTGCTATGTGTTAATAAATCATTAGTTGGCTAATCTGTGACTTTAAACTTCTCATGAGGTTGCACTCATAATAGTAACTCCATGCCACCTTTTTAGGACATTATATCCCAAACTTGGTAAGTCCTAATGGGACTCACCACTTTCCTTCAATTCAACAATTCCACATGGTGGAACTTCTCTCGACCAATCACTCTTCTAATGAAACTACGTAGTTTCAATGTCCCAAAAGAATATATTAACCAGAATTACAATCCAGCATGGCGAGTTCCATTAGACCTTGCCATATTTCTCTTTTCTAGTGGTAACCCATGTCAATAATTACATGTCACGCCTTCCTTTGTTAGATAATTAGTGTAGAAACCCCATATGGTAAGCTCGCTAAAACTCGCCATTTGTCATCTTTCTATTGGACAAAAATAATGGAGTAAACATATGCCCCTCAAATTCCATGCCTTGTGGAACAACTTGATGACAAGGCATGGGATTTAAACCCTCGCCATCATGGCCTACTTAATCTTTAATGTTCCATAGCTGGCTTATGAGTTCCATCCATACCAACCTCTTTTGTCGCCAACCATAAACATATCATAAAAAATCTTATCTGTTTCCTTCTTCTAAATTTCAAAATTCCATCTAGACCCCTTCTGAATATGCCCTTAGAAACTCAAGATAATTATTAAAAGGAAACTTTCTATGTAATACGTGGCTGCTCCCTCGGCTTCTTCTCTATCACTGATTCCGTATCCCAAAGGAGTCCTATCTATTTATGGCTTAGTGCTGTCAGACTTCCCAATCCTCGTTATTTCCTTTTTAAATTTCAAAAATCCTCTAACTACTCCTTCAAAAACAAAGGCATCCTTGGACTCCGGAGATTTACCACAATCAAATCAAATCTTCCACGTGTTATCTGACTGGTCTCTTGATTCTCCCTATGCTACTCTTTCTTACCGCTAAACACGTTCCGTCTTCAAATAGACTTCTTATCTATTTATGGCAGTACATCATTCAGCTTCCAAAACTCTTAAGACTTCCCTTTTTGAATTTCGAAAACCCCAACCAACAATCCTCAGAAAACGTCTTTAGTCTTTAAAACCTTCCTCATCACTCCTACATATATATGTATACCTTCTGTCCTTATCACTTACCTAAAACCCTTTCTTCTATCTTCTTTTTTCTTCCTCTCCAAACAGAAATCCTAAAAGAAAAAGACCTCAGTCATGAATCATGGCTCCTAAGAAACCCTCCAAACAAACCACTAGTTCATCCCTGCCAGCCCCTTCTATTCAAAGCAAAGTCAAAACTCGAAGTCATAGCCACCAAGTTCAAATGCTTTTGAAGTCTTTAAACCCTGCCAGACTTCATCTCGAGCCTTTAGTTGATCTCAAAGACTCTTTAGTTGGACTGGGTCCAGCTTTCACTGATGTAGCCCCCTCTAAACTGGCTGAATTCTATCCTTCCTGTAAGTCCCCTCTCCCCTTTGAGTCAGAATTTCCTCTTATCTCAAAGAAAGGGAAAAAGGTGAAACCTTCTTTCAACATCAGAAATTGGCTAACATACCGCTCATCTTGGTCCTCTTGGGTAAGTCGCCTTTCCAAGGATGAAAAGATTTCTTCGCAGTGGAAAAAATAAGGCATATTTGATATCATTCAAATCAGTAAGTCTTCCATTACACTTGATCTGAACCTTCTCTTTCTAGCTCTCTTCTTTTGGTCTTTAACCACTAATTCTCTTCACCTTAAATGTGGCATGATGTCTCCCACTTTGAGAGATATTTGTTGCATTACAGGTCTTAAACCCCATGGAGATGATGTAAGTGCCACCCTCTATATTGATCATTTTCTCTTTCCTACCAAAAACACTGGAAGTAAGAAATTTATCTCCTCTCATCTTCCTTTTATCAAACATTGCAAGAAAACCGGGCCAGTTCAAGAAGAAAAACACATTGCTTCCCTGATCTGTTGGCTTCCTGGCCATTTGTTGTGTGTTCCATCTGGCCAAGTTACAAAAGACTTTGTCCAAGTAGCCATTTCCTTAGCCAGAAATGGAGACTTGGCCCTGGCCCCTCTTGTGCTTTCTCAATTATACAGAGGCCTGGACGACTTGCTTTATTCAAAATTTTCAAGGTTCCAAGGTCCATTCTGGTTATTCTAGATGTGGCTTAAAGTGTATTTTCAAAGTAGAACTTCACCCCTAGCCACTCAAACTGGAAAATCCCTCCTATGCTACTCCCTGGCAACAACAGACCCTTCTCCTTTCAGCTTTGCTGAAAACTTTGAATATTTCTATAATCCATGTGAAACTGGAGATGATGGATTCTTTGACCCATTTACTTCCCTTAACCGCATGCAATCATGGTTAGTTCCTTCTCCTAGAGTGTCTACCAAAAAACATTCTGAAGATTGGAAGAACATTTGGGCTAGCTTTCTTCTTGCCCGTGATCTTCATTATGGCACTGCCCAGTCCACTCTAAAGAACAACTTTTGCGGTGTCGAGTTATACAATCCAGCCCAATTGGCTAGGCAAATGGGTTTTACCCAAATGATTCCTTTACAACTTATAAGTCCTATAACAACTTCTTTGACCAATGAGTAAGGTTCACCAATGCAGAGCAATTTGCAGCAATTGACAAAGCTTATGCAACGGAAAGAGCAACTTTAAACTTCCAAGGCTATACTAGCAAGTCTCGGTCAGCCAATGAATTTGATGTATGGTGG